AGATGTCCACATCCTAATCCCCAAGACCTGTAAGATTTATCTTGCACGGCAAAAGAGACTTTGCAGGTATGATTGAATTAAAGATTTGAGATGGGGGAGATTATCCTGGTGGGCCTAATGTAAACACAAGGGTCCTTTTAAGAGGGAGATGAGATGGTCAGAATAGGCAATGCCACAAAGGAAGCAGAGGTTAGTGATGCAAGGAGGGGGCCCTGAGTCAAGGGATGTAGGTGGCTTCTAGAAGGTGGAAAAGGAAAGGCAACAGATCTTCCCCTAGAGCCTCCAGAAGGAATGCAGCCCTGGTCACATTGGTTTTAGGATTTCTGACCTCTAGAATTGTTAAGATGCTAAATTTGTGTTGTTTTAAGACATTAGGGACTGTGCACGGTGGCTCATGCCTGTAATCCCAGCACTTTGGGAGGCTGAGGTGGGTGGGTCACTTGAGGTCAGGAGTTTGAGACCAGCCTGGCCAACATGGTGAGATCCCGTCTCTACTAAAAATACAAAAGAATTAGCCAGGCATGGTGGTGGGAGCCTGTAATCTCAGCTACTCTGGAGGGTGAAGCAGGAGAATTGCTTGAATCCACGAGACGGAGGTTTCAGTGGGCCAAGATGGCACCACTGCACTCCAGCCTGGGCGACAGAGTGAGATGCCATCTCAAGAAAAAAAGAAAAAGAAAAAAAGACATTAGGTTTAGGTTTGTTGTAGTTTGCTACAGCAGCAATAGAAATTAATGTACATAGTTTGTTTAATATAAAAATTAAAAAGAAGCCTTAAGGTGTTATAATGCCCACTTTTACAGGTGAGTGACAGAGATATAACCCACCTAAGGTTATGAAACCTGAATCAGGTTCTGAACTCAAATCTCCATGATATTTTTATGAGAAGTAAATGAGCATTTTAAGACCCAATCTCTGACCTCAAGGAACAATCTAATAAGCTATGTATGTAAAAACTATGCAAGGTAAAAATGCAAGTCTCTTATAACACAGAAGTAAAGTGCTGTGGCCCTTCAAGGATGGAAAGATACCTGATGGGAGAGGCAGGGAAGGCTTCACAGAGGTGGCCTCTGAGCAGAGTCTTGAAGGATGTGTTAGACTGCTACAGGCAGAAAAGGGGGACCATTACGAGTTGAAGAAAGAGTTTAGGTAAGAGAAACTCACAGGGTTTGTTGCGATTTCAGTCTTGATTGGTGGAGTGGGAGTGAAGGAGACCAGCAGAAGGCACACAGCTAGGAAGTGAGATGGGAACAGATCATGGAATATCCAGAACACTAAACTGAGGAGGTGTAGAAGTGCTGTGTGGGCTATAGGAAGCCACTGCAAGTTTTGAGCTGTGATATGATCAAAAAAACCAGGGAGATAAACAATAAGATATTGGTCATGAAGTGATTAAATAATAATGTCTTGGCTGGGCGCAGTGGCTCCTACCCGTAATCGAGCACTTTGGGAAGCCAAGGCAGGAGGATCGTATGAGGCCAGGAGCTCAAGATCAGCCTGGGCAACATAGTGAGACATCGTCTCTACAAAAAATATATATATTTTAATACAAAATATTTAAACTACTCAAGGCCAGGCACGGTGGCTCACACCTGCGAAACCAGTACTTTGGGAGGCCACGGCAGGCAGATTATCTGAGGTTGGGGTTTTAGATCAGCCTGGTAAAAATGGTGAAACACTGTTTCTACTAAAAATACAAAAATTAGTTGGACGTGGTGGTGCACACCTATAATCCTAGCTACTCGGGAGGCTGGGGCAGGAGAATCACTTGAACCTGGGAGGTGGAGGTTGCAGCGAACTAAGATTGTACCACTGCACTAAAGCCTGGGCAACAAGGTGAGACCCCGTCTCAAAAAACAAACAAACAAACAAACAACAACAACAACAAAAAAACGGCCAGGCGCGGTGGCTCATGCCTGTAATCCCAGCACCTTGGGAGGCTGAGGCGGGTGGGTCACCTGAGGTCAGGAGTTCAAGACCAGCCTGGCCAACATGGCGAAACTCCGTCTCTACTAAAAGTACAAAAATTAGCCAGGCGTGGTGGCTGGCACCTGTAATCCCAGCTACTCAGGAGGCTAAGGCAGGAGAATCGCTTGAACCCGGGAGGCGGAAGTTGCAATTAGCTGAGATGGCGCCACCGTACTCCAGCCTGGGTGACAAGAGCGAGACTCCGTCTCAAACAAACAAACAAACAACAACAGCAACAACAACAACGAAAACAAACAAAAAACCCTACAACCTACTCCAAAGTAGCTGGGGTGATGTTTTTGGTCAGCAGGTTCCCTTGCCCTTTGGCTTGGGGTTGAGTTTGGCCAATGTGGAGCACCAGTGGGTAATTGCAGGGAGAAGAGAGAGTGAGGTTAGCGTGTATATTCCCTCGCTGTCTTCCTGGGAGGTTATCTTTGCCTGGATGTGTTCCCTGAAGGAAAGTCATCACTCCTATCATGGTGACCCTCTTCATGCAAATCTTTCCTTCCAGGTTCTGGTAACTGCACTTTCTCCTCACCTCTTCATGTCCAGGAATGGTTTCTCTGCATCGTATCCATACCTTTGTGAACAGTCCCTTTCTTAAACTCTCCTCAGTTTATCTAACTGGAGTAGGCCATGTATTTCCTACAGGGACCCTGCCCAGTGCAATTGTCCTAGCCCCACACAGATTCTCTCTGATCCCCAGATCTCTCCTCTTGCACCAAGGAAGTAGGATGGGTGAGCAGTGTTCTCAGTTCAGGTCTAGTTCTCACTTCTCAGATAGCTCACTGTACACATTTCTCACTGTTACAGGAGGAAACTTCAGGCATTTTCAAAAAATTTATTTTGTTATCTTCACAAACACTCACAATTAAAGATCCCCTTGGGTATAGAGTGAACTCGGTCCATACCTCCTCCTCCTCCTCAGTAGATTAGAGTTAATATTGTGGCACCCAGTTTCTAATGAGTGGAAAAAATAAAAACCTTAAAAACATGTCTGTTCTTTAAAAAATATATACAGACATGCATTATTTTATTTTATTATTTTTGTTGTTGTTATTGAGACGAAGTCTCATTCTGTCACCCAGGCTGGAGTGCAGTGGTGCAATCTTGACTCACTACAACCTCCGCCTCCTGGGTTCAAGCAATTCTCTTGCCTCAGCCTCCCGAGTAGCTGGGACTACAGGCGTGCACCACCATGCCTGGCTAATTTTTGTACTTTTTTAGTAGAGACAGGGTTTTGCCATGTTGGCCAGGCAGGTCTCAAACTCCTGGCCTCAAGTGATCGGCCTCCCAAAGTGCTGGGATTACAGGTATGAGCACCACGCCCAGCCAATATATTTTTTATTTTAATAGCTTTTGAGGTACAAGTGTTTTTTACTTACATGGATGAATTGTGTAGTGTGAAATCTGAGATTTTAGTGTGCTTGTCACCGAGTAGTGTACACTGTGCCAATACGTAGTCTTTTATCCCTTACCCCCTTCAAAAACATGCCTGTTCTGACCCAGCACATCCTTTTTCAGCAATTTAACCTAAGGAAAGGGGCAGTGGATAAGTGTAAAGACTCAGCTACAGAGATGACCACTGCAGCTTATAAATACAAAAACTGGAACCAACCATAATGTCAAGCCTCAGTAGATTGGTTAAATAACTATGGTGTATCTAATATAGTGGAATATAATAGAATGCTATTTAGACATGAAAAGAATGTTGTAGAAGAGTATGAACAGATGACCATGTATTTTTAAAAATTTTGTTTCATCTTTTTTTTTTCCTTTTTATTTTTTGCAAGTTAACTTTAAATTGGGGGATAATTTTTAGATTTATAGAAAAGTTGCAAAGATAGTGCAGAATTCCCTTATACCCTTCACGCAGTTTCCCCTAATGTTACCTCTTACATAACCATAATATACTTATCAAAATAAATACAATGTTATTGACTAAACTACTTTATTCAGATTTTACCAGTTTTTCCGTGAATGTACTTTTTCTGTTCCAAGATCTAATCCAGAATACCACATTATATTTAGCCAAAATATACTTTGCAGGGAAAAAATTGTAAGGAAGACTGCAAAAATATGCATCCAAATGTTAACAGAAATGTGCCAATTAAGACTCTTTGGTTGTAAGCATCAGAAACTGACTTTGGCAACCTTGTGAAATAGGAATTTGTTAGAAGGATGTGGCACATCTCATTTAAATAAAGGAAAAAGTAAACAACCAACTCTTGGAAAGGACAGAACCAAGGCTGCTCTAGCGTTCAAGACAGGAGGGACTGTCTATTTTTTTCTGAATAGGGAACCATCACTAGGGTGATGTTTTTGGTCTCTGGATCACTCTGCTTGAGACCTAAACTCTGGAAAGGGTGAATCTGTTGGACCAAGCCTGGGCCACCCAGCCGTCCTTTGGCCAGGGACACTGGGGCACCTTGACCAACATTTCCTCTGCCTTGCAATGGCAATGGAGAAAGAGTAATTCCCTAGAGAAAAATAGAAATTCTGTACCCCAAAATACAAGGCATAAATATTGATAAAGCAAAAGAAGATATATCTGGAATAAGTGACTATCTCTAAAGTTATGGGTGAACGACTTTTTTTCCTCTGAGTTTTCCAAATGTTACAAATAAACATGGATAGCTTTTATAACAGCCATAAAAAGCTTATTTTAATATTCTTGTGCCTAAAGTTAACAAATCAAGTAAGCAGATTTTGGTATCGACAGGCCTACTTTTTGTCTGTGTGTTCAAATCATTACACCTGGACCAAGAAAGTGGCATTGGGAATGGACAGGAAGGGATAGAGAGCAGAGATGCTTTAAAGGAAGACTCCAAGAGAACTTGGCCCTGACTAGTTACAGGAGATGGAGGAGAAGGACAAATTGGAGTTGATTCCAGACTCCCGAGCCACAGTCACAGGAAAATGGTGTTCCATGGCCAAAACACTGAAGTGATGGGCACAGTGAGCTGCCTGGGGTAAGGAAGGTGGCAAGTTCTCCTAGCATGTGGCTTTCATTTTCCTTATCTGACCTCCAGGGCTGATGATGAATCTTCAGAGCCTGTGAACACCAATGTGGTCCTGCGGTATGATGGGCTGATCACCTGGGATGCACCGGCCATCACCAAAAGCTCCTGTGTGGTGGATGTCACCTACTTCCCTTTTGACAACCAGCAGTGCAACCTGACTTTTGGTTCCTGGACCTACAATGGCAATCAGGTAGACATATTCAATGCCCTGGACAGCGGAGATCTCTCTGACTTCATTGAAGATGTGGAATGGGAGGTCCATGGCATGCCTGCTGTGAAGAATGTGATCTCCTATGGCTGCTGCTCTGAGCCTTACCCGGACGTCACATTCACCCTCCTTCTGAAGAGAAGGTCCTCATTCTATATCGTCAACCTCCTCATCCCATGTGTCCTCATATCTTTTCTGGCTCCTCTGAGTTTTTATCTCCCAGCAGCCTCTGGAGAAAAGGTCTCCCTGGGAGTGACCATCCTGTTGGCCATGACTGTATTTCAACTAATGGTGGCAGAAATCATGCCGGCCTCAGAAAATGTCCCCCTGATAGGTGAGTTTAAGTGTCTCCCACTTCAAGCCCAGCTTTGTAGTGCCTGGGGTCATGCCTTTAACGTTGTGTGTGTGCCTTTAAACTTGAAAACAATGGAGCCAATTTCAGACTCAATACAGACTATCTCAAATTTTTCTGGTGGTTGCAGTTAGCATCTTTCAATATAGATAAGGCTTTTGGAATCAAAACTGGTCTTATGGTCTCTGGGTTTCCACAAAAGAGCAATGAAAAGCATTACACTTTAGAGCAGTGGTTCTCAAAGTGGTGGTCCCCAGATGTACAGCATCGGCATCACCTGGGAACTTATAGAAACACAAAACCTCAGGGCCCACCCTAAGCCTACTGAATCAGACATTCTGGAGATAAGGCCCTGGCGTCCTGTTTTAACAAGCCTTCTGAGTGATTCTGATGCATTTTCCGTTTAAGTCTGAAATCCAATGACTCAGAGGTTAAAACCTGATTTTGAAGTCAAAGAAACCTGCATTTGAATGCTGACTTCACTGTTCACTCCTTGATCAAACTTAGGCAAGTTACTTGTTCTCTTAGTCTCTGCTTCATCATCTGTAAAATTTGTGTGTCACTGCTTAGTGCATGCCCTGGCATATGGTAAGTACTGAGGAAACAATGACTATTGTTATCATTTCATGTGACAAGGGCTTTCTTCTTGGGAAGAGTGGCAAACATGGCAGAAAGATGTGCTTTTTAAGCCTGATGTCTACCCTTAACAGAAAAATTTTATCTGCATTGGGTATAATAGCAGTGGAAGAGCTTATTAAAATGCAAGTTCCTACGCCCGGAGAGTTTGATTTAGCAACTTGGCCAAGATTTGGGAATCTGAGGTGATTCCAAAGCAGACTGAATTTTCAAAAATCTACAATAATGAAATGTCCCTCCAAGGACTGGAGTGCAGACTGAGGGTACCACCCCTGCCTCCCCTATCCTTGCCTAGCTTGTTCTGAGGGCTTTCTATCCTCTTCAACATCTACTTTCTGCCTCCAATACCATTGAGATCCAACATCTCCATCTCAAGGACTTGCTGTTGTAACAGATGCTTACCAGAATCAAGCCAGATCTAAGTTTGAGTTCCTTAAAGTAAGCAATAAGGAGAAATTCTAGAACACCAAGGAATTTAGAGTCCAATATCAAGAGATGTTGCCTTGCCCTTTTACTCTTTACTGAGTCCAGTTACCCAATATTGAGATGATACTACAGTGGCTTTTCCATTTGGAGATATCTTCCTTTTTATGTCTGTCCTTGCAAAATACACACACACACACACACACACACACACAGCCCTCTTTTTCAGAATTAAACACAGAAGGCTTTTCGTCCTCTAATAAAAAGGAGATGTATTGGCATTTTATTACCTCTCCTGAGGCAGAAATGATTGGCAGTGATGATCATAGCCCTGTTCGAGGAAAGATCATGGGACGGTCCCACTCTCTTCTTGGGCAGTGACATTATCTAGCAAGCTGGCACAATTTCTAAAGACAGATGTCTCACAGGAATTGCTTGTTCTGTTTTTATGAAAATATGAAATTTATATTTTTAAAATTAAATTTATATTTTGAAATTTATATTTTTAAAATTAAATTTATATTTTTAAATTTATATTTTTAAATTTTATTTTAATTTATTTTTATTATTTAAAAATGAAGGCTGGGCATGGTAGCTCACACCTGTAATCCTAGCACTTTGGGAGGCCGAGGCAGGCAGATCACCTGAGGTCAGGAGTTCAAGACCAGCCTGGCTAACATGGTGAGACCCTGTCTCTATAAAAAGAATTAGCTGGGCATGGTGGTGCGTGCCTGTAATCCCAGTTACTTGGGAGGCTGAGACAGGAGAATCACTTGAATCCGGGAGGTGAAGGTTGCAGTGAGCCAAGATTGCACCATTGCACTCCAACCTGGGCAATAGAGTGAGACTTTGTCTCAAAATAATATATATATTTAGAAAAAAAATTAAAAATTAAAAAGATAGGGTCTCACTATGTTGGCTAGGCTGGTCTTGAACTCCTGGGCTCAAGTGATCCTTCCACCTTGACCTCCCAAAGTTACAGGTGTGAGTCACCGCAACTGGCTGAAATTTATCTTTTTAGGAAAAGTGCACACAGATCTTGAGAACATTTATTTAACAATTATAATTTGTTATTCATAGCAACCATGGAATGTGTTCACAATATTACAGAAATATGCTTAAGTTTTCTGCATCAAATGTAGCCCTTGATATAGGTTTCTGGCCCATGACCTTTACCATTTTAAGAAATGTCTCATATATTAACTCAGAGATTTTGACAAATAATAAGTAGATGATAAACATTATCAAATACTTTGTCTTCATCGATTAAGATAATAATGTGAGTTTTCTCTTTTACTCATCAATGTCGTGAATTACATCAATAAGTCTTCTGATGTTGAACTCTTTTGTATAACTGGACAAATTCCTTTCTTATGATACATTATCCTTTTAAGACACTGTTGGATTCAGTTAGCTAATATTTTGTAGAAGTTTCTCAAATATGTCGATTAGTGAAATGGCTTTAATATTTCTTTTCTTGTCACTTTTGGAATCAGGTCAAATGGACTTCACAAAATGAACTGGGCAGTTTTCCCTCTTTTTCTATTTCTGGAACAAGTTGCATAAGATGGGAATTATTTGTTCCTTGAAAGTTTGGTAAAACTCACCTATAAATTCTTTTTGGGCCTAGAGCCTTTGGTGGGGGGATGGTGTTTGATTGATTCCTATTTCTATTAAAGTGTTCTTTATTCTTGCACTAATTTTGACATCTGACATTTTTCCAGCAGTTTCACCTAGATTATCAAATATGTTATTATACAGCTATTTTTATTTTTGTTTTTTGAGACATAGTCTAGCTCTGTTGCTCAAACTGGAGTGCAGTGGCGTAATCTCGGCTCACTGCAAGCTTTGCCTCCTGGATTCAAGTGATTCTCCTGCCTCAGCCTCCTGAGTAGCTGGGATTACAGGCACTTGCCACCACAGTCAGCTAATGTTTTTTATATTTTTAGTAGAGATGGGGTTTCACCATGTTGGCCAGGCTGGTCTCCGACTCCTGACCTCAAGTGATCCACCAGCCTCAGCCTCCCAAAGTGCTGGGATTCCCAAAGTGGTGGGATTACAGGTGTGAGCCACCGCGCCCGACTACACAGTTATTTATAATATTGTACTATTTTTTAAGTCTTTTCCATCTTCTCTCGCTCTTTCCCTTCCTGTATTTCTCTCTCTATCCTGTAAGTGGTCTTATCAAAGGTTTATCAATTTTATTACTTTTTCAAAACTTTGCTTTTGGTTTTGTTCATCTTCTTGGATTTTTATTCTATATTTCATAAATTTGTAGCCTTATCTTAATTGTTTCCTTCCTTAATTTCACTTTTTCATCAACGTGTGCTTTATATAATCACAGTTTGAAGACTAATAGTGACACAGTCTCCTTTCTTACCCAATAGCAATTGGCTTTCATATTAATGAGGTCTGAAGACAGTTCTGAGAACTGGTCAAGTTCATTAATTGTTTGTTTGTTGAGTGTGGAAAAATTTTTCACCTCATGATCTCAGGAAATATTTCCAAACTTTTTAATTTCGAGCCAGGAACAGTGCTGAGAACTTCAGTGTGTCATCTCAATTAAGCCTCCTCATATTCCTGCGAGTTAGATATTATTACTACGCCCACTTTACAGAGCAGGAAACTGAGGCTTAGCAGGATTATATGCCTTGCTGAAGGCCACAAGTCCAGGGAGTGATAAAGCTGGGATTTGAATTCAGGAAGGGAGATTCAAAAGTCTATACTACAGCTGGGTGCGGCGGCTCACACCTGTGATCCTAGCATTTTGGGAGGCCGGGGTAGGCAGATCACTCGAGGTCAGGAGTTCGAGACCAGCCTGGCCAAGATGGCGAAATGCGCCCCCTCCACTAAAAATACAAAAATTAGCTGGGCAGGGTGGCAGGCGCCTGTAATCCCAGCTACTTGGGAGGCTGAGGCAGGAGAGTCGCTTGAACCTGGGAGCCAGAGGTTGCAGTGAGCTGAGATTACACCACTGTACTCCAGCATGGGCAACAGAGCGAGACTTTGTCTCAAAAAAAAAAAAAAAAAAAAAAAATCTATACTAGTAACCACTAGGGTATAACACCTCCTTAGAAAGGGTGTTTATTTCTTTTTAAGCCAAATACAGTCATGTGCCTCATAACAATGTTTTGGTAAATGACAGGCCGTGTATACATCCCATAAGATGATAATGTCAATTTTCACTTTATCTTTTCTATGTTTAGACATGTTTAGACACACAAATACTTAACCGTTTGATAACTGCCTGCGGGATTCAATACAGTAACATGCTGCACAGATTTGTAGCCTCAAATCAACAGGCTATACCGTGCAACCTAGATGTGTAGAAGGCTATACCATCTAGGTCTGTGTACATACACTCTATGATGTTCACACAACAGCAAAATCACCTAATGACTAATACCTTTCTCAGAATATATCCCTGTTGTCAAGTGACTCATGGCTGTATGAGGACCATTTTAAAGCAAATTCAGTTACTGTTGTTATTTTAATTCCAGGTAAATACTACATAGCCACGATGGCCCTGATCACGGCCTCCACTGCCTTGACCATCATGGTGATGAATATCCACTTCTGTGGGGCCGAGGCCCGGCCGGTGCCGCACTGGGCCAGGGTGGTCATCCTGAAATACATGTCCAGGGTCTTGTTTGTCTATGATGTGGGTGAAAGCTGCCTCAGCCCGCACCACAGTAGAGAGCGGGACCACCTCACGAAAGTTTATAGCCAACTCCCAGAATCTAACCTGAAAACAGCCAGGAACAAAGACCTTTCCAGAAAGAAGGACATGAACAAACGCTTAAAGAACGACCTGGGCTGCCAGGGTGAGAACCCTCAGGAGTCCGAGAGTTACTGTGCACAGTACAAAGTGCTGACGAGGAATATTGAGTACATAGCCAAGTGCCTCAAAGACCACAAGGCCACCAATTCCAAAGGGAGTGAATGGAAGAAGGTGGCGAAAGTCATAGACCGATTCTTCATGTGGATTTTCTTCATTATGGTGCTTGTGATGACTATTTTGATCATAGCAAGAGCGGATTAGTCACAGATATTGGCTTTGCTATCTCGGTAGAAATTAATACAATTCCCTGTGATCTATTCCAGTGTTCTTCCAAGATTTTTGTTCATCTATAATTTAGGGGTTATGTTGTCTGTACGTTTTATTTTTAACCTCAAATCAATGTCGAAGCTATCTGCCCTGTCAAATTAAGCAGGAGATCCAAAATTTCAAGGGTAGGAAGATGGAAGAAATAGGGAAAGCGACCTTTTATAGCCCACCATAGCGGTGGGTGACTGGCCTCTATACAATTATTCACCTCTTTGGCAGTACAGATAACAAAATACACTTTACTGGTAAAATTTAAAACAAAAAGGCAAAACAAACCAAACTTGTTTTCCCCTTAGTTCCCCTTAAACCATACTTTAAAAAATGAAATAGTCATATATATGTTAATGTGATTTAAGTCTCAATGGTACCTTATTCAGGCATAGTGCATTTGAAGTTATATCTCAAATAGTGGAATAAAAGGTATTGTCCCATGTGAAGAAAGTCTAAGCATCAGCTGTTTAATGGGGAAAGAGCTTGCTTCATAATGGTGATGTTGTATATGTTGGTTATGTTTTATATAAACCCAAAAGATGAAGTCATTCCTGCATTTACCCCTTGATTAAAATATGATAGATGAAGTTCTTCCTGTCTTGTATCAAAATAAGGTGATTAGCAAGCTGGGCTCATCCATTCATTCATTGAACTTTTCACCAAACATGGATCACATTTTCCCTACATGTAATAAAAGCGACATGATTCACATTTTATTGGGTGTCACAGCAATTCTTATGCACAAGTCTGATCACTTTGATCCTCATAATAATTCTGTGAGTTGGGGAGGCGAGTATTACTATTCTTTCTCAGAGAAAGAAACTGTGGCTTAAAAGGCGGGTGTAAGTGACCTGCCTCCTCAACATCCAACAAGGTGTAAGTGGAACTGGGACTCAGCCCTCAGCACTGGGACTCAGAGTTGGGCTACGTCTGCTAAAGTCACCCTGCTTTAGGCCATGACAAATTATGATTTAGCATAGGAGAGACTGAGAGATTCTTGTTCTTAATTCTGAACTTTCTGCCCTAATTTACTTCCTGTATGTCTCAACTTCTTTCCTACTTTCAATAAAATGTGACTTCAAATCCACCCGCCATTCCCACCTAGATTAAAATGATCCAAGGCTGGGCGCAGTGGCTCACATCTATAATCCCTTTTTTTTTTTTTTTTGAGAGGGAGTCTCACTGTCACCCAGGCTGGAGTGCAGTGGCATGATCTTGGCTCACTGCAATCTCTGCCTCCCAGGTTTAAGCAATTCTCTTGCTTCAGCCTCCCTAGTAGCTGGGACTACAGACGTATGCCACCACACTCGGCTAATTTTTTTGGTATTTTTTGTAGAGACGAGGTTTTGCCATGTTGGCCAGGCTGGTATGGAACTTCTGGCCTTAAGCGATCTGCCCACCTTGGCCTCCCAAAGTGCCGGGATTACAGGCATGACACCATGCCCGGCCCTATAGTCTCAATATTTTGGGAGACTGAGGTGGAAGACTGCCTGAGCCCAGGAGTTCCAGAGCAGCCTGGGTAACATGCGGAGAACTTGTCTCTACAAAAAAGTTAAAAATTAGCTGGGCATGGTGACAGACAACTGTGGTACCAGCTACTTGGGAGGCTGAGGTGGGAGGATCACTTGAACCTAGGAGATTGAGGCTGCAGTGAGCTGTGATTGCACCACTACACTCCAGCCTAGGTGACACTGTGAGACATTCCCTAACTTCCAACTCATCAACTATTCTTTTTCCAGTTAAAAACAAACAAACAAACAGAGGTGGAGAGAAAACAGTAGTCAACCTAGGAAGGGGAGGACAATGTTTGGTTTAAACATATAGACATCTTTTTGTTGTTGTTGTTGAGACAGAGTCTCGCTCTGTTGCCCAGGCTGGAGTGTAGTGGCATGATCTCGGCTCACTGCAACCTCTGCCTCCCAGATTCAAGCAATTCTCCTGCTTCAGCCTCCTGAGTAGCTGGGACTACAGGTGTGCACCACCACACCCAGCTAATGTTTTGTATTTTTAGTAAACATGGGGTTTCACCATATTGGCCAGGCTGGTCTGGAACTCCTGACCTCGTGATCCACCTGCCTCAGCCTCCCAAAGTGCTGGGATTACAGGTGTGAGTCAACACTTCCGGCCGACATTGCTTTTTAATTCTTGTGTTTACTCATTCCAGAAAACATTTATTGTGCACCGACTATATACTTAGTGGTATGCCAGCTGCCTTGAAGGGAGCATGTGTGAAACGTGGCTTCTACCCTCCAGTTGCTCACATGTTGCTCACAGTTCAGTGGAGGAGATACCAAGGAAATAGGCAAACATAGTCAAGTGTAAAACGTGCTATCACAGAATCACGGACAAAACACCATGGGTACAATGATGATGAATCTGTTTGAGGGAAAGTGTCGGAAAGACTTTGCAGAGTGTAGCATCAACATTTGAGTTGAAGTTTTTTGTTGTTGTTGTTGTTGTTTGCTTTTAAGAGGGAATCTTGCTCTGTCACCCAGGCTAGAGTACAATGGTGCAATCTTGGCTCACTGCAACCTCCACCTCTCAGGTTCAAGCGATTCTCCTGCCTCAGCCTCCTTAGTAGCTGGGACTACAGGCACGTGCCACCTCTCCTGGCTAATTTTTGTATTTTTGTAGCGATGAGGTTTCACCCTGTTGCCCAGGCTGGTCTCGAACTCCTGACCTCAGATGATCTGCCCACCTCGGCCTCCCAAAGTGCTGGGATACAGGCGTGAGCCTCTGTTTCTGGTCTTAAGCGGACTTTTGAAGGTTGAGTAGTAGTTTGCTAGACAAAGAAAGAAATGAGGGTAAGGATTAGAAAGGATTGGTGAAAGGAGAGTGTGAGCAGAGCTTAGAAGAACAGAAACGATGCTGGGTGCAGTGGCTCAGCCCTGTAATTCCAGCACTTTGGGAGGCTGAGGTGGATGGATCACCTGAGGTCAGGAGTTTGAGACCAGCCTGACCAACATGGAGAAACCCCGTATGCACTAAAAACACAAAATTAGCTGGGAGGAGTGCTTGAATCTGGGAGGCGGAGGTTGCAGTGAGCCGAGATCACGTCATTGCACCCCAGCCTGGGCAATGAGAGCAAAACTGCATCTCAAAAAAAAAATAAGAAAAAAAAAACAAAGGAAGAAACCTTGTTTAGTCACAGAATGGAATCAGACAAGTTTTTTTCTTTAATTTTATTTTGATGATAGAAGTAATGTTATCAGTTAGAGTTGTATTTGGCTGTGAATAACAGAAAACCCAATGAGCCATAACTTAAGCAAACAGAGGTTACTCATCTCACACAAAAATAAATCCGGAGCTGCAAAGCCCGGGGATCTTTCCATCTTTCCTCTCCTTCATTTGGAAGTGAAGTCCAACAGCCTGAGGCTTGGTGCTTCGTGGTCACAGAAAGGCGGTTGCATCTGTAGGCTTTGCAGCCACATTCCAAATGAAGAAAAAAGTATGGAAGTCCAAAGGGACATATCAGCTGAACTTCCCTCTTAAAAAAAAAATACAATAATAAAAATTTTAAAAAATTCTAGGTTGGGCGCAGTGGCTCATGCCTATAATCCCAGCAGCACTTTGGGAGGCCGAGGTGGGCAGATCAACTTTAGGTTGGGAGTTCGACACCAGCCTGGCCAACATGGCAAGACTCCAGCTCTAGGAAAAATACAAAAATTAGCCAGGTGTGGTGGTGGGCGCCTGTAATTCCAGCTACTCGGGAGGCTGAGACGTGAGAACTGCTTGAACCCAGGAGGCGGAGGTTGCAGTGAGCTGAGATCGCGCCACCGCATTCCACTCCAGCTTTCACGACACAGCAAGATTCTCTATCAAAATAAATAAATAAATACATAAAATAAATAAATGAAAATTCTAGAAGCAGAAGCATATCCATGACTTTCTTTTGTAACTCATTACCTAGAAATGAATCACATACAAGAAAATCTTGGAATGGTTTTACTTTCCCGAAGACAATCAATGCTATCTTTATAGGAAGGAAGGAGAGAGTACATGTTGGGTAGATAGTGAGCAGTTCCTGCCTCAGTTATACAGTCACACTATAGTAAGGGCAGGATATAAAAGAATAACAGACCGGGCATGGTGGCTCACGCTTGTAATCCCAGCACTTTGGGGAGTCGAGGTGGGTGGGTCACCTGAGGTCAGGAGTTCGAGACCAGCCTGACCAACATGGAGAAATCCCATCTCTACTAAAAATACAAAATTAACCAGGTGTGGTGGCACATGTCTGTAATCCCAGCTACTTGGGAGGCTGAGGCAGGAAAATCACTTGAACTCAGGAGGCAGAGGTTGTGGTGAGCCGAGATTGCTCCATTGCACTCCAGCCTGGGCAATAAGAGCAAAACTCTGTCTCAAAACAAAAACAAAAAACAAAACAAAACAAAAGAATAACAATTACTCAAATTCCACAATCATAGCAATAACAACTATTCATTTACTATTATTTTCCTTAAATCATATTTATGTGTCTAGTTTATTTGCTATAATTGTAATCATTATGTATTTACTATTTTGTCCTGCTATTTATATTTATTTATTCATTTATTTATTTATTGACACAGAGTCTTGCTCTGTCACCCAGGCTGGAGTGCAGTGGTTCTCTCTAGGCTTACTACAAACTCCACCTCCTGGGTTCAAGCGATTCTCCTACCTCAGCCTCCCAAGTAGCTGGGATTACAGGCATGCACCACCACGCCCTGCTAATTTTGTATTTTTAGTAGAGATGGGGTCTCTCCATGTTGGTCAGACTGGTCTTGAACTCCCGACCTCAGGTGATCTGCCTGCGTTGGCCTCCCAAAGTGCTGGGATTACAGACGTGAGCCACTGTGCTCAGCCTTATTTTTATTTTTGAGTTGGGGTCTTTCTCTGTCATCCGGGCTGGAGTGCAGTAACGCAATCATGGCTCACAGAAGTCTGGACTTCCTGGACTCACTTCATCCTTCCATCTCAGCCTCCTGAGTAGCTGGGACTACATGCATGCACCACCGTGCCTGGCTACTTTTTTTTAAAAATTTTTTTATAGAGATAGGGTTTTACTATGTTGCTTAGGTTGGTCTCAAACTCCTAGGCTCAAGCAGTCCTCCCATTCAGTCTCCCAAACTGCTGGGATTACAGGTGTGAGCCACCTGCCCAGCCAGCATTCAATTTTTAAATAATTTTTTGTAGAGATGGGGTCTCACTTTGTTGCCCTGGCTGGTCTTGAACTCCTGACCTCAAGTGATCCTTCCACCTTAGCCTCCCAAAGACTCTGGAATTACAAGTATGAGTTCTTCAATTTGTACTGAACCTGTGGTAGGCAGAATAATGGTCCCCCAAAGATGTCCAAGTGCTAATGTGAAGGACTGGTGAGTGTGCCAAGTTACCAGGCAATGAGGAGTTAAGTTTGCTAATCAACTGACCTTGAGGTGGGGAGATAATTTTAAATTACCCAGGAGGATAAAGATCCTTTTAAGTAGGAAAGGGAGGCAGAAGAGAGAGAACCAAAGAGATGGTATTGTGAGAAGGACTCAGCCAAAGTTGCTGACTTCAAAAAATGGAGGAAAAAAGCTATGAACCAACAGTGTGAGAAGCAGCCTCTAGAAATAGGAAAAGTCAAAGAAACAGATTGTGCCCTAGAGT